ATATTAACTCCTCCTATCGTAACTGCTTTGACTATATTCCCCAGCTGTTGGCCTTCTAATTTTCGTTGGTCATTCCTTTCAGAAACATCTGCATCTTGACCTCTGGTCCTATCATGATATTGAAACTCTTTTCTCAAAAGAGCATAAAACTCATTTACTGAGCACAGGGTCAGACGCATAACAGGACTGGTTCCCCGCACACCCTCATTTAAAGCAATTTATCTAACGATCCTGTCTGCCCACCTCTCATCCTCAGCATTCATCTAGATCTGACACTGCTGCACTCCTCTCTTCCCCCACCTCCTTGTTCTTTCTCCATTTTCTTTGCTGACTCCTCTTTCTCAAGTCTCTTCTCAACAGATAACCCTAAAATGTTGCCTTTATCAGACTCAATCTCATGTGCTTTGGATTCATACGGGGGAAGAAAAATGTTAAAATTCACAGATTCTGCCTCTCACCTCAAGGCCTCTGGAATCTGAATTCGAAGCTGGACCCTGGGATGTGTATATTTTTAGCTAGCTCTGTAGGCTAATCTTACAGAGCTGCACCTGACATTCATCTCGGGGATCGACATCAAGCCAGTTCTGCCAGAAACCCATTCCTTAATGGCTCCTTTATCCATCCCCTCCCATCCACCTCAGCAGTCACTGCTTTATTTCAGGTCCTGTTTTATGCAACTGCTCTTCCCTTCAGCCACGCAGAAGCTACTGGAGTTCAAGAGTCACCATACTGCTTCAATCTTGTGTTTCTTCACTGCCTGGAATACCCTTCCCCTCCTCTCTCCTCCTTCACCTGGCAACATCCTACTTCCTAGGCCACCTGCTTCAGGAAGATTTCCTGTTCTGGTTCGGATGCTTGTCTCTCTGCTCCCGTGGTATCTACCCTGTGCTCACCTTCCCCATAGACCTATCAGACTACACCAGAATGGGCAGCTGTCCTGTCCCTCTCCCATTGAAAGCCACTTAAAAGGTGGATCATGTTGCTGCCTTCCCAGCTCCTGAGGCACAGCAGGCATCTAACAAACGTTGGCTGAAGGAGTACACTTGTGTGATTCACTCGTGTGAGATCCAAACCTAAGGTCTGGTGCTGGCTACGCTAGGTGTTTCCTGGGGCCTGTTATTGTATCTCCACCTGTCCCCCAATCTCAGTACGGTCAAAACAAAACTCTCTGCACCTAAATGGGCATTTGCTTCACAATTTACCCCCATTTCTAGTACAGGTACCACCAATTCATCCAACATTCAAGGCTGGAAACCGTGACATTGTCTCTGATGGATCCTTTTTAATCCCCCATCTGCAATGTGAGATCCCTCTGGCATGCTTCTAATCAGAGCTGGTATTTCCCACACCCTGGGTACAGTTGGCACAGTTTCCTATAGGCAGCACCTATTCTATCCTGTGTACCTATCCTCTCTCTTGCTGATTGTTTTGAGTATTATCCTTTTTTTATTTCTATCACCTTTTCTTCTCCACCCTCGCCCCAGATTACTACAGATACTAATTACACCTGTGTCTAGTTTGTGCACTCTTCCATTTGCCCTTATAACCTCAGCCAAATTTCTCTCATCAAAGCATCCTTGTTTGGTGACCCCTGATATTTCCCATGGTTTAACACAGAAATATCCAATTCTGCCTGACCAGACTTTAAAGAAAACTGTATTTTCTTTCCTTTTTCTTTTCTTTCTTTTTTGAGACAGAGCCTCAAGCTGTCGCTATGGGTAGAGTGCCGTGGCATCACAGCTCACAGCAACCTCCAGCTCCTGGGCTTAAGCAATTCTCTTGCCTCGGTCTTCCAAGTAGCTGGGACTACAGGCACCTGCCATAATGCCTGGCTATTTTTTGGTTGTAGCTATCATTGTTTGCCAGGCCCGGGATGGATTCAAACCTGACAGCTCTGGTGTATATGGCTGGCACCTTAGCCACTTGAGCTATAGGCGCTGAGCCTTTTTTTTTTTTGAGACAAAGGTCTTGCTCTGTCACCCAAGCTAGAGTGCAATGGCGTCATCATAGCTCACTGCAACATCAAACTTCTGGGCTCCAGTAATCCTCCTGCCCCAGCCTCCCTAGTCCCACCTGGGACTGCAGGTGTATGCCTCCAAGTCCAGCTAGTTTTTCTATTTTTTGTAAAGGCAGGTTCTTGCTGTTGCTCATGCTGGTCTTGAACTCCTGGCCTCAAGTGATTCTCCTGCCTCAGCCTCTCAAAGTGCTGGGTTTACAGGCGTGAGCCACCATGCCCGGCTCCCAGCCATATTTTTCACCTCCATCTACCACACACCCTATGTTCTCATTGGGCAGAGAACATCAATATGCATAAGAGAACCAACCAAAATGTTTTGTTATTTTCGAGTTATAGAATACATTCTCTTTTAAAAAAAATAGTTAAAAGTAAAAAAGGAATAGTGTACCTCCCTGCCTGCTCCTACCTCTAATTCCACATCCTAGAGGCAATCACTGATGTGGTTCTAATTTTCCTATATCCCTTCAGCTTTCCTCATAAGCTTGTACCTATAAGCTTCCAAGACTACACTGTTCTCTGCAGGGTCCAGTACATAAGGTGCTTAGCTAATTCCAGGTGCATCCATTTTCCTGACCCAAAAGTAAGCTGAAAACTATCCCCCCATTATGCTTTTGTGGACCCCTTAAAACTAAGTGCAGGCTGAGCACAGTGAGTCATGTCTGTAATCTCAGTACTTTTAGAGGGCAAGGCAGGAGGATTGCTTGAGGCCTGGAGTTTAAGACCGGCCTGGGCAACACAGTGAAACCCTCATCTCTAAAAAAACTTATAAACTAGTCAGGTGTAGTGGTCCACATGTGTAGTCCCAGCTATGTGGGAGCCCTGGAGTTCAGGCTTACAGTGAGCCATGATTGTACCACTGGACTCCAACCTGGGCAACCAAGGGAGATCCTGTCTTTTTTTTTTTTTTTTTTGAGATAGAGCCTCAAGCTGTCCCCCTGGGTAGAGTGCCGTGGCATTACAGCT